TTATCGATCATGATTGTGTCTCGAACACAACTAGTGCTGTTATTTGCTCTTCTACATTATCAAGCCGAAAGTCAACAGCAAGTGCTTATTGAAGAATCACGTGAGTATTTAAAAATTGGGTTTTAATGTAAAGATTGTAAAGCCATTAAATGTATCTAATATTAAGCCTCATATTAAGAGACTATGGTCAAAATGCCGACAAGTGAAATACAGCGTGGCAACACGCTATATTCAACTTGTCAGCATTTATATAGACACGTGAGTCTACATCTACATCTACACTAATATTGTAAAGAAGAGAAAAATTTCTTTGTTCGTTCGTATTCAATAATAGGATCCAAAACTACTGGACCGATTTGAAAAATTCTTTCACCAATGGAATACTACATTATCCCTGAAGAACATAGGCTATAGTATATTTTCAAAAAGTTAGGGATCCGTATACAAAATTCGGTAATGTAACCCATGGCGTGAAAAAAATACCAAAAGAATCCTTATATCGCATACGCTGCGGAAAATATTGACAATAGAGCAAAGTGATGTACTACAGTTTTATAGAAGATATTATTATCTACAAAAAGTTTGGGGTACCATATGTCTAACCATTACAGTTATGTCAAAATAACTACTTTTCATGTTAAACTATGCAATAGTAACGCCAAAAAATATCGCATACGCTGCGGAAAATATGGACAATAGAGCAAAGTGATGTACTACAGTTTTATAGATGATATCAATATCTACATACAAAAAAGTCCGCGATACCATATGTATAACTATTACGGTTATGTCACAATTACTACTTTTTATGTTAAAATATGCAAAGCCCCCCGAGTATGTGCAATGGGATGATGCTACTTATTAATGTAATGAAGGAAAATTAACTGTAGCGACCATCATCACCGGCCTATCAGCTGGTCAACTACCTCATATACCGAAGATATTTTGTTGACATAAAATAAAACAACATCAAATATAGTTTACAGGGAAGCTCTGAACTAGTAAATGTATGTTTTGTAGATATTATCTTTTTACAGATAATATAATAATATTTCTAATAAAAATAAAATAATCAAAATTAAAAAGAACAAAAAAATATAAGTAAAAAGTATTAACAAAAAAATCATCATCTATACCTTAATATTACGAAGAAGAAAAATTTTTTGTTTGCTTGTACCAAATAAGCTCCAAAACTACTAGACCGACTTAAATATTTTTTTACCAATAGAAAGCTAAACTATTACAAAGTAACATAGGCTATAACTTATTTTCAAAAAAATTGGAGATCTTTAAGAAAATAGTAACCCAAAGTAGCAACATTTTGCCTATAAAATTCATTATTTGGCGTGTGCTGAGAAAACTTGATGATATATAGAAATTATGTGCTACATGATTAAAGTACTCATTATTATCTTCAAAAAAGTCTGCGTAACGAATATATCTATCATAATTAAGTCACAACAGTAGCTTTTGTGTTGTAAAATTTATTTATTTCACCGGCCGAAACAAAAGTCGGTTACGAATTAATACTACGATGTCGTATCGTAGTATTAATTCTTATTCAAATAAATAGTTTTATCATAATGAAAGTTTTAAGAAATAATTTGTAACTCTTTTTAAAGAGCATATTCCAATCTTTACTATTATAGACATACATATTTTGGCGGTAAAGTTTTTAATATATCTAAACTTTGAGCAAAAAAAATCGATTAAAGATAAGAAATGTTCATATTTTGTGGCAGATTGCGCAAAAACTATATATGACATCGCTTTCGTATGTTTATAAGGTTGATAGAAATTTCATCATGGATCATTTCATACTTCCACACTTTTCATGTACCGTGTACAGTTATCTTTAAAACTGAAAAAAAACGCGTTTTGGGGCACTTTCTGGGGCATTCATCCGGGAGGGGGAGAGTGAGTGGATAAAATTTAACTTTGCTGTATAACATACATATGGCGATAGAATAAAAGTACTACATTAATTTTACCAATTTTCTAGCCAAAATGATTGAACTAAATGTGCAAGGTATCATGTCATTTTGCACGGCGCAGACACGTGATATATGTGGGTGAAACCGTGGGGCACAGCTATATAAAATATTTTTAAAATAAAAACAATTTTTATAAATTTTGTGTCCGTTTTTCCGTTTGTTCCGGATAATCTCCGAAATAGCTGACCCAAAAGGCAAGTAAATATCCACCGCTCTGCTCCAATACGTGTTGGCGGATTTTACATGTCTTCAAAATATTTTATTAATTCTCAGACATGCAGGTTTGCTTAATTCAGCACTTTAAATTGCAATTAATAGTTTTATAGGTGCAAGCGGGGCTTGAACCCGACTTGCTCACGTATTGTGAAATTTACAGCGAGCGTTAAGCCCCTGACTTACCACGGCTCTAAATACTCTTTACTATGACAAAAGTCTATCCAGAAGCTGATTGTATACAAGCTGAGGAGAAGAAGCAACAGAATATTTTTTTCTTATTATAAGCTAATGTTTGGGAACAAAATGGATGTAATCTAATACTAAATTATTTCATATGTATTTTGTAAAAGGTGTAGTGTGTATATTAAAACCTCGTGAGAAACCAAAAATGATAAAAGAAAAAAACAATCAACGTAATTATACCGCTATTATTTAAACAATTACACACAGTTTTAAATGCAAATATAATTTGTTAGTTACTAATTTTGTTTTCTTTTTTTTCGATTGCCTCGTTGGTCTATTGGTAATAAGCGTAACTTGTGATCATGATGTCCCGGGTTCGAATTTTGAGGCCAAAATATTTAATTAATAGATTCAGGCGTTACATTGCGATTTACTTTCGTTGTTGTTATTAAATCATGGAAGACTGCTTCCGTCCACCCGATCCCAAAAAAAGGTGAACGCTCAGACCCGTCCAACTACCGGCCTATCGCCATCACCTCCTTGTTCTCCAAAACAATGGAGTCTATTGTTAACTGCCACCACCAAGGGAGGATTACCAGCTGATTAGTGATCACCAATATGCTTTTCACCGTGGTAAGTCAGCTGGTGATGTTCTGGTCTACCTAACTCATAGATGGGCGGAGGCAGTAGAGTTCAAGGGGGAGGCATTGGCCGTTAGTTCGGACATTGCGAAGACCTTCGATCGAGTTTGGTGCAAAGCGCTTCTTTCGAAGCTCCCTTCCTATGGGCTTCCCGAGAAATTGTGCGATTGGATCACCAGCTTTCTTGCAGATCGGAGCATCAAGATCGTTGTAGACGGTGCAAGCTCCGATAGCAAGCCTATTAATGCTGGTGTTCCACAAGGATGCGTGTTATCGTCAACGCTGTTTCTTCTGCATATCAATGATATGTTGCAAACCCGTAACATTCATTGCTATGCAAATAACAGCATTGGTAATGCTCTTTACACTGGCCGAGCTAATATTTCTAGGGAAAACGTCTCCGAGTGCCAGGACAAACTTGTGTCTGAAGTTGAATCTTTGCTGAACAGAGTATCGGATTGGGGGCAACTAAATCTAGTCCAGTTTAACCCCCAGAAGACACAAGTTTGCGCTATAACCTCTAAAAAGGACCCTTTTGTCGTATCTTCTCAGTTTTAAGGCATTTGTTGCCTTGTTGCCTCAGCCAGTATCGGAATCCTCAGCGTCGACATATCGAGTGACGTGCAGTTTCGTGATCACTTGGAAGAGAAGGCCAAATTGGCCTTTAAAAAGCTTGGCGTGCTCAGCAGAGCAGGACAGTATTTCATGCAACTGCAACTTTACAAGGCGCAGGTTCGGCCGAACATGGAACAGTGTTCCCATCTCTGGGCTGGGGCTCCCCAGTACCAGATCCTTCCACTTGACTACATCAAGCGCAGAGCGGCTCGAATCGTCGACGACCGAGTGCTTTCCGATCGGCTCGATTCACTGGCGCTGCGAAGAGATGTTGCATCTCTTTGCATTTTCTTTCGCATATACCATGGAGAGTGCTCTGAAGAATCGTTCGGATTAATCCCAGCCGCCAAATTTCGTCCCGATACTATCCACACCATCTGGATGCTTGGCCGTCCACCACTGTACGTTTCAAAAGGAGTTTTCTTCCGCGTACAACCTCTCTGTGGAATAGTTTACTACCAGCGATTTTTCCGGACCGATACGACCTGGGAACCTGCAAGAAAAGAGCTTACTCCTTTCTAAAGGACCGGCAACGCATCTGCAATTCCCCTGGTGTTGCGGTTGATCATGGGCGGCGGTAGTCACTTAACATCAGGTGAGCCGCATGCTCGTTTGCCCCCTCTTGTATAAAAAAGGAGGAGGTACTCAATTCGACTGTATGTTTTTTATGTGTGTTACTTCTGAACTTCTTTCTACGTGAACTCTTCTGTGATTCTTTGTTTATTTGAAAGCTAGTGCTTTTCATGTGATCCCGTATAAATTTGATCAAGATATGACAAGCAGTTTTTGAGTTATCCTTAATAATGAGTATTTAATTGACCTCGACTACATTGATGATGTTCTCATTTTAACCCTTTATAAGGCAGTGGGCTTATATGCTCCATCAATTTTTCACCCAAATCATTTGAGTTTCGATCATTAGTACGACTTTTGCTTCCTACTAAGGGCAACATTGGTTCATATTACGTCAAAAAACGTCTGCCATATATGTTTTCACTGACAGCTGTCACTTTGCTGTCAACAAGTAGCGCGTGAGTTGGGTATTTTCGCTCGTGAAAAATTAATCTAGTGGAATCTTCGAAAATATTTAAAAAAAATGGTAAGAAATGATTTTAATGTATTACTTAGTGTTTATAATTGCTGTAACGAACAAAATTTTTACGTTATTATCTAAAATTATGGACTATTTTTTTTTCTTGGTGGCCGCATGTGGCCCTTGGCCCATTCGGCATATATCTGGTGGCCGTATTTGGCCATCTGCCTGCTCGGCGACTGCAAAAATTCTATTGACCTATTGTTATTTTATTTTTAGGCGGCACTTAGAGATGAAGAGATTGAAAAAGAGCTGGAAATGATGTTTGGACTCCCGGAAGATGCTGATGATTCCGAAGATGGATATGAAGCGGAAGATCCAGATACTAATTTGAATTTAACTCGTGTCTTTGAGGATGAAGACCTATTTGAACATCAAGGAAGCAGTGCATCAGGACCGGGCTTAGTTCCAAGCCCGATTCCCGGTACATCTTTGGACGAGAATTGGGAAAATGTCAGTCCAAATATTGAACGATTTGAACGCCAGTCTGAAGACAGTCCCATTCGCGGCCCGATACGTCGTCGTCGTGTTCTCTCTTCAGAATCCTCGTCGTCCTCGGAAAACGAATCACAGAGTGAAACCTCAGCAGATGATGGTAACGACGACGAATGGAAAAAAATCATGTGGTCAGCTGAGAGTAGACCTAAGGCTGAAGACTATGATCGGATACCACTGAAAGCGAAAGATTTCTTTCCTAGCAGGACAGCGCCGATCGTATATTTTTCCAGATTTTTTTCAGGCGAGGTAATCAATCATATAGTTGAGCAAACGAACTTATATGCAGCCCAGAAAAAGAGTATGAAGTGGGAACCAGTGACGAGTGCTGATATAAAAGCCTTTATTGGAATGATTATAATTATGGGCCTCCATGTTTTACCCTCCATCGATTTATACTGATCTAGTGACCCGTTGTTTAGAGTAAATGAGGTGGCAGAAATAATGACCTGTAAAAGGTTTAAAAAAATATTGGAAAACCTTCATCGTAATGATAATTCCCAAATCCCTTCTAAATCAAATCCAGACTACGACAAACTATATAAAGTTCGCCCGTTACTGAAAATGCTGAACACAGCTTGCAAAAATGAAGCTAGAACATCCACATCACAAAGTATCGTTGAGGCAATGATTAAATTCAAAGGAATTTCGTCTTTGAAGCAGTATATGCCAGCAAAACCCATAAAGAGAGGTTTTAAAGTTTGGGTTAGGGCAGATAGCTCTACTGGATACGTCTATGAATTTCAAATTTATACAAGCAAAAATGACGACAGTACACCTGAGTTCGGTCTAGGATCAAATGTGGTAAAATCTTTGTCAAAAAGCCTGATAGAAGAAGAGGTTACTGTTCATTTAGCATTTGATAACTTCTTTGCTTCGTATCCACTAATGCAATACCTTTATGAAAAAGGGATTTACTCCGTTAGAGCCGTGGTAGCTCAGTGGTTAACGCTCGCTGTAAATATAACAGAACGCGAGTAACCCGGGTTCGATCCCCGCCGGCACCAATGAAATTGTTAATTGCAATTTTAAGTGCTGATTTACCACGTGCTCGGCGGTGAAGGAAAACATCGTGAGGAAACCTGCATGTCTGAGGAATAAGAAAAAAAAATATTTCAAAGACATGTGAAGTTCGTCAACACGCATTTGGGCAGCGCGGCGGACACTTCCTTGCCCTAAACCCTCTCAGAAATGAGGGGAGGCCTGAGCCTAGCAGTGGGACGTATATAGGCTGTAACTTTACTTTACTTTTTTACTCCACAGTAACAGTAAATTTGAACAGAGCGGATTTACCATAGTTTATGAAACCCATCAAAAATGATAAAAAGAAAGAAAAAGAATGCAAAGAGAAACTAAAACTTACAAGAGGACAATATATATGGAGAGTGAAAAATGACGTATCATTCATGGTTTGGAAAGACACGAAAAATGTGCATTTTTTAAGTACAGCATTTCATCCTAAACAAAAAACCGAGTGTCAAAGAACTATGAAAGAGGGTTCCAAGAAAAAAATCCCCTGTTCTCTGGCAGCGGCTGAGTACACAAAGAGGATGGGAGGGGTGGATAGGTTTGACCAAAAACGTGGTTCCTATGAAGTTGGCTGCCGAAACAGACGTTGGTGGTGTCGAATCTTTTCTTTTTTGATTGACTTAGCTATCACTAACACGTACATATTGTACTTGACTTCGAGTAGAAATCCAGTAAAGCTGACAAATTTACAATTTCGCATAATGTTAGCCAGGTCACTTATCAGCGACTACTCGTCGAGAAAAAGGAGCTAAGGTAGCGCACCTAATTTTGTCGCTAAGAAGAATCGCGTCGCGGTCAGTCCTCACTATCAAAAACCTGTAGGAGTTCCTGATGATATCCGATACAAAAACGTCGGAATACACCTGATTAACAAGTCTAACACGCGGTACAGGTGCCGTTTGTGCAGTACTAAAACAAATAACAAAAAAACCTATTTCTCCTGCACGACATGCAAGGTATTTCTTTGCGCTTATCCCTGTTTCAGTCAATTTCATTTATTTATTTATTAGGGATAACAACAGCCTTCATTCTATGAAAAAAAATCTTATATAATATGTTTTACATAGGGCCAATAATAGTCATCCTCGTTTCACAATTTATCACAAATCAGAAGTATGAAAAGTTGAAAAAAAGAATATTACAAAACCTTAAATCAAAAATAAATTTAAAATGTTTGTCATGGCTGACCTAGAAAATTATTTATACTTCAATTGGATAATATTTACACATGTAAGCACATACATATACACATATACATATAACCATATTATAATTAAACACTTATACATTTAAATAAAAAAGGCAAGTATATATATACTAACATTTAAATAAATATACATACATAGAATATACGCGAATTGAAGACATATAACTTGAGATATTACTACGGATTTACAAAACTACAGAGGCTACCAAAATAAACAATAAAGGTTAATTGTCTACTGTCAAAGCCTGTACTACCTTTCGCTTAAATAAATTTTTTGAATGGATAAATGGGTCAATATGAGAAAATTTTGTGTTAAAAGTTCTAACCATTCTGGAGAGGACACAATTCTTACCATAATTAGTATGATGTAAGGGAACACCCAGTAAAGGTGTATGCCTAGTCCTACGTCGGGGTACATTAAAGGATATTTGTGAAAGAAGAGCAGGGCAATCAAGTTGAGCGCGTAAAATATCGAACAAAAAACCCATGTCTAAGATCTCACGGCGTTCCGCTAACGTGAGAAAATTATTTATTATATTTCATCAGAAACCTTAAAAATCAATTCAGTTTTTGTAATTGTATTCAAGTAATTATAAGAGCCAATGTTGATTGATCTCAAAAAAATAAACCTAATTATAAGAAGTATAGAGTTAGAGAAAAGCATTCCTATATTTAGTAAACTCTTTCTAACTGAAGATATTTAAGTTTGAAGACATCTATTGTCCCTTTTTAATAATATTTGTGATTTTAAGTAAATAAATATATTGTAACAAACTACATTGTCTTTAATTTACTTAAATTATGCCACTTTACTGCTACCTCGGATGGGCAGAGGGACATATATATAGAAAAACTCGCAAAAATGCTTATATGTGTGTCCTTAACAACATACTAAAATTTCATTTTCAAACCTTTTCTGGTCTCTCTGCCTTATAAAGGGTTAATTATATTGAAGTTGAACCTACAAAATTTTTAATTTTACCACTTGTTATGGCAGCAATTCATAGCAAACAAAATAAATGTAACTAATCGAGATAAAATTGACAAAATTAGCTACATTCATTGGAAATATTTACTAAAAAAGTCTCTGTTATACCGTTGTTGATTATCGCTCAGAGCAGACCTGTGTCATATTAGATAAGAAAATATAATCGTCGCTTCAATCGATTAACGCACGTAGTGTATTGTAACCTAAGGTTCCCTTTGCCGCCAATAGCAATCGTTTGTTAAAATAAGTTATATCTGTGTTGAAAGTGCAGTACCTTACTCGTCGCATCCGAACACGTCACACCGAGTCGAAGTAAACAAAGGTAACAATTAACACCTACCTGCATTAATGCTTGTTGTACTTATCATTCTATAAACGATCTACACTACACAGCCAGCCAATAATAAATTGAACATAATGTCTAGCTGTACTGGTTGTAAGAAATCGGTGCGGCAATCTGAGAAAATAATTTGCACCCGCAGTAACTGCGCTAAGACATACCACTATTTATGTGTAGGTTTGACATCAGAAAGTGCCAAGAAAATATCGTCTTGGACATGTCCGTATTGCATTAGCAAGCAACCAAAAGCAGGTGACAACACCAACACTCCGATTAAACATACATCAGAAGAAAATTCTCCAGTAAGCTCTTATCTACAGGAATCATCTGAGTTTCGAACAGGCATCCTAAACTCTCTTAAAGATGAACTCCAAGTTCTTATGAGAAAGGCAGTTAAAAGCGAGTTAAGCTCCTTGAAAGCTCAAATATCGACTATGGAAACTACTCTTAATTATATAAGTACCCAGTACGATGACAAATGCCTAAAGGAAGAAAATGCGCGTCTCCGAAGTGACGCGGATGCTAATACAAGACGTATTAAACAATTGGAAGAGGAGTTTGCAAGGCAACAGCAGTGGAGTCGTCTTCAGAATATCGAAATTACAGGTGTCCCAGAGGACAAGGATGAAAACACTGTTGAAATTGTTGTTAAGCTGGCCGAGAAATTGGGTGTCACCATGGACAGCAGTGAGGTGGAGTTTGCACATCGTGTGCAGCCGCGTAAGCCGAACAGTTCCATCATTCACCGTTCCATCATTGCCCGGTTTCGTCACCGCAGCACAAAAGACTCGATCATAATCGCATCGCGTAAACATCGCGGCATCAAACTAACCGACATTGGTATGGTGCACAAGACAAGCAACGATAATGCCAGAAACAATATTTATATTAATGAACATCTTACACCATACAACCGGGATTTATTTAAACAGTGTAAAATCAAGACTAAGGAATTTAATTTCAAATTTATCTGGACAAAAAACTGCCGTATTTATGTGCGTCGCAACGAAACTTCTCCCCCCATACCCATTATAACGACGGCCGATTTGATAAAAATAGTTTAAATTGTACTGATTGTATAGCGATGTTACTCTTAGTTATGTTACGCATACTTACACAACACACATTTCTCACTTACATTCATCATATTACACCTCTTTACATTTTAACACCAAACAACTTGCAAAGTTATCATACAACATGTTATTCATTGTTTCTATTTATCATTACTCAAACTACAAAACACTATGAAAAAATTCTACATCATATAAAACACTATGATAATATATCAATAGGCATTACAAACTGCCTTCCTGTTTTGTTTCTTTTTAAAACGTTATGTTATGTCTTATTGTCGTGGAAAAAGATACTTAGCATTCACTTCTTTTTTTATTATTACGTTTTCTCTGTAGTGCAAATGAAAGCAGTTATTACAATCCTTTATGTGTATCATTCTATAACTAATGGTGTACTTAATATTTAAAATGGCAAAGTGCAATAGTGGATTAAGACTTTTCTATCAGAATGTACGAAGCT